GCCACGGCGCAAAGTTCAAGCGAGAAAGAAATCAGCAAATGTTGTCTCTCAATCTTTGGAGAAAGGAGCATCGGGTATGGTAATTCTTTACCATTTGTTCTTCTTTTCGATGTAATTCACACAGTGGTGGATGGATAGTGGTGCAAATATACATGTGTGTCTTGATGTTTCTCTGTTTTCTTCCTACCGGTCGAGAGATGCAGCGCCTTGTTGATGGGAAATGGGTTACGGCGTGCTCATGTTCTTGGTGTTGAGTACGGTCACTCTAAAGTTTACTTGGAAAGCGGTGCCATTGAAGGCGTGCAGCATGTGCCCTCCATCAAGAAAGAATCTTGTTAGTGCATCTATGCTTATGTCGAGATGGCTACAAAATTGTTCTAGAGTCGAATAAATGTGTTGTGTCGAAACATGGTTCCTTTGTTGGTAAAGGATATGATTGCGGAGGCTTGTTCCGCTTATCCTTGCATGATGTGTGTAATAAAATGGTGAATTATGTTAATATTTACGATGAGTCGGTTTATGGCATTCACGTTTACATCATGCAAGTTTTTGGTACATGTCTTATCGTTTTAGCAAATCTAAATTTAATTCCTAAATTCAATTTGGTCAAAAGTCTAAGTGCCATGTATGTGTTGAATCAAAACAACCCATAAACCTCCCACAGAAATTTCTTTGAAATGAAATTTAGCACCTCTAGAACTTGTCCATTACGATTTGTCTGCGAAATGAATGGAATTTTTGACTAAAAGGCGGTAAAGATACTTCATCACTTTTATAGATGACTCCACCAGGTTTTGCTATGTGTATCTCTTAAAAACAAAAGATGAAGCGTTTAATTATTTTAAGACCTATAAAGCTGAAGTTGAGAATCAACTTGAGAGGAAAATAATGGTTAAGGTCCGATCGAGGTGGAGAATATTTCTCTAATGTTTTACGATGAGTTACAGTGTGGAACATGGTATTGTTCATGAGAGGACACCGCCATTCTCACCACAATCAATGGGATTCTTTGAAAGAAAAACCGCACTCTAACGAGTTAGTGAATTCCATGTTGAGTACTGTGAGGATTATCCAAGGAATGGTGGGGTGAGGCAATTTTGACAACATGTCATGTCTGAATAGAGTCCCAACAAAGAACAAAGAAATCACACCATTTGAGGAATGGGAAAAGAAGATTAAATCTCTCATATTTGCGCACTTGGGGTTGCTTGGCTAAAGTAAATGTGCCAATCAACAAAAAAGCGTAAACTTGGGCCTAAAAGCTGTTGATTGTATTTTCCTTGGCTATGCCTTTCACGGCATTGGTTATAGGTTCTTAATTATAAAATCTGAAGTTCACGATATGTATGTTGATACAATCATGGAATCAAGAGATGCTACTTTCTTTGAGAATGAATTTCAATGAAAAATACACCTAGTGAAACAAGTCATGAGACTATAATTCCCCATGAACCACATGAGCTGTCTATTCCAACGGATCATCTTTGAAGATTTTCATGTGCACATCCACGAGAAGGATGACACTATAGTCACTCGAAAGAGCAAGAGGCAGAAGGTTGCAAAATCCTTTGGTGATGACTATTTAGTGTACCTTGTGGAAGACATACCAACCACCATTAGAGGCATATTCTTCTCCACGATCTTGACTTGTGGAAGGAAAGCGATGAGGAGTGAGATGAATTCTATTATGTCTAATGGAACTTGGGAGGTCGTTGGCCAATCCTTATGGTTTGTCAACCTATAGGTTGCAAATGGATTTTCAAGAAAAAAAGCTTGGGCACGATGGTACAATTGAGAGGTACAAAGGCAAGGCTTGTGGCCAAGGATATACCAAAAAGAGGTGAAGATTTCTTTGACACCTATTCACGGTTAACTCGATTGACTACAATTCGCACCTTAATTGCGTGGGCGCCTCTTATGGTCTTATCATTCATCGGATGGATGTTAAGGCGACTTTCTGAATGGAGAGTTAGAAGAGGAGATCTATATGGATCAGCGGAAGGGTTCATTGCGGATGGTCAAAGAGAGCAAGCAAGTGTGCTGAGTTGTTAAAATCATTATATGGCCTAAAACAAGCACCTAAGCAATGGCATGAAAGGTTTGATAATACTCTCACATCTTCCGGTTTCTCTGTGAATGAAGGTGACACATGTGTGTATTGCTCGATATGGTGGGGGTGAAGGCTTGTTATCTTTGTGCCTATATGTTGATGACATCGATCTTTGGATCAAATCTCAATGTGATTGAGGAAGTAAAGAAACTTCATCGAGCAATTTTGAAATGAAAGATTTGGGAGAAGCTAATGTTATTTTAAACATCAAGCTTATTAGAGAAGGTGATGGTGGGATAACTACATTACAATCCCACTATGTGGAAAAAGGTACTAAATCGCTTTGGTTTTAGTATTTGTGATCCTGCTCCATATTATGATCCTAGCGTGCTATTGAGGAAAAATCGAAGAATAGCAAGGGATCAACTAACATACTCCCGGATCATTGGCTCACTCATGTACTGGCGAGTGCAACAAGGCGACATCTCATATCTTTGTGAAGTAAAATTGAGCGGTTTATGTCAAACCCGGAGATGATCAACTGGCATGCTCTTGAGAGAGTGTTGCGTTATCTGAAAGGTACTATGACTTATGGTATTCGTTATCTTTGGATATCCAAAAAATCTTGAAAGGCTATTGTGATGCCAAGCCGGATTTACGATCTTGATGAGCTTCATGCCACGGCGGATATGTGTTTACGCTTGGAGGTGGTATTTGTTTCTGGAAGTCTTGCAAAGCGAGACTATCTTAACGAAGTCTACAATGGAAGCGAGAACTTTGCATTATTGGACCTATCTTTGGAGCTGAAGCCGAGTGGCTTCGTGATTTCTGTTGGATTTACGGTAGTTGAAAAAGCCGATACCGGCTATCTCAATGAAGCTGTGACAACGGTTGTGATTACAAAGGTCAACGACTCCGAGAATAACATGAAGTCCACAAGGCATGTTAAAAAGAAGATTAAAGTAGTCGAGAAAAGTTGAAAACCTCCAGGAGTTATAACGTTGGACTATGTCCACCGTCGAATAATCTGGCAGATCAATTCACTAAGGGAATTTGTCACAAAATGTGATAGAAAGTGCATCGAGAGAGATGGGTATGAGACCCACATGAAATCTCTTAGTGGTAACTTTTGCTCTATGTGATCGGAGATCCCGTGAAGTAGAGTGGTGAAACAAACTATGAGTAGATTGAGAGGAAAGTTCCCTGAACCTATCTCGATGTATATCTTTTTCCTTTAAAGAAAGCGAGGATGGTATTTACCTTAATGTACTCCGAGAGTCTTATAAAGATGAGATGTTGTCCTCTGAGAACATCTTTTGAGAAATACACCTATATGAGTCAGATTCTTTGGTCACAGTCTATGGGACACAGGTTATCCTAAACACTCATGAAAGGCATAGAAGTGTGACTTATATGCTTCAAGCAATGAGGATGCTTGTTGCAACCTAAATACCCGCAAAGGACTTGAGTGAATCTCACCTCACAAAAGCTTTGTCAATTCAAGGCATAGTCCATTGTTTAGTTGTGGTTGAGTGAAATTCTTGTTCTAGGTGGATGTTCAACAACAGTCTCTCCATCGGAACACTCTTTGGTATATCAAAAGAATTATGATTACGGAACTATACGATTAAAAACCCTAGAGTTTGGTGGGGATTGTTGGATTTATTATGGGCTAGGCCCATTTATAAATTTAATAAATCAATAACTCTATAGTTTGTAATTGTGGGTATTACTATTTGTGCGGATTGGAAGTTAAAAGGGCGTTGACTCAACTTAAATGATTGGAATTGATCCGTCTAATTTGAGAAGTTGAAAGCGGACAAAGCGTGCCTCCTGCCAGCAGTACCACCGCCCGGGCGGGCGAACGCGAACCAGGCTCGGCACCGAGGCGTGGCGTGGCGTGGCGTGGCGTGGCGAGGCAGGCAGGCAGGCAGGCGGGCGTGGCGTGGCGTGTTATCTTTTTAATACCCACTAACCACGGGAGTTTCAACTTGAAGCCGGTCGACTCACGATCTCCCGAGTCTCTCCACCTTCTGTCCGGCGCATTCCTCAGGGACCTCTCGGCTTTTCCTGTTAATCTTCCAACTCCGGTTAAAGAGAGAGTACTCATCCGAGAGATCAGTTCGGTTGCTTGATGGCCTTCCTCATCTACGTAACTTCTGCAGCGCCGCGGAGAAGCGAGGCGGCAGTGCCTCGAAGCCCTTGTCGTTCGAGACCTTGCTCGGGGATCGGCAATTAGGTTTTTGGGGGGCGTCTACGCTGACTGCCCAGAAGAGTCTCCGTCTCCGTGCGCCCTACGTCGTCTTCTTCCCGATCGCTTGGCGTCACCATCTTCTTCTGGAGGAGAAACACCTTCTTCTTCTCTGGCATGACAAGGGGCGTTCTTGGAACTTCAATCATGGATGGGAGGGTATGATTGTTTCATCATCTTTACTGTTTTATGTTCTACATGTTTCAGCAGTTCTTCATTTGCTTCATATCTTATATCTGTTCATGCTAGAAATATGCTTATGTCTGTTCATGCTAGAAATATACTGCTGCATATGTGTTTCCTTCTTCTGATTACATTTGTACCGTATATAGCTTTATGCTTGTTGCGGATATGAGATGTATATCATGCCATCTGTTTTCTCTACATTATTCATGAATCAAGTTCTCATGCTTTTGATCTTTATAAGTTTCACATGATATATGATCTAGCATGTATTTTCACCATGGATATAATCGATATCATGATTACAATGATTAATAATTGTTTATATGTCATCATCATGCTGTTGATTTATGAAATTAAAATGACATGGAAATTGCCTATTATCCTAACATCTTCCAATCGCATTTCACTCTGAAATTTCATTCTTATCGTCCATGGAATCTTGAAGAATTTCAAGTTTGATCCCCGACCAATCACGGCATTTGCCTTTCATCATCGATCGTCACCAAATAAAGTTCACCTCCTGCGTCGCTGTCCGTGGAAGCCTTTGAGCCTCCCGTAGAGCATGAGGAGAACAAGGAGCAGCTTCCCCTGGTCGGTCCACCACCCGGAGAAGCTGTATGGCTTGTCATGGCAGGCGGCGGTCGCCTCCTCCGCTGCCGGCGGCAGCCTCGAGCAGCTGTAGCCAGTGGACAGCCCCACGTTCCCATAAGCACTGAAATGCATGCAGGAATCCATATGTCAGTTTCAGAAGCTCCTGATGAGTGACGGGGCAGATATATATGGTTTGTGAACTGTGATTGTGATGTTCGTCAATCGTGCATGTACACCTCACCTGATCACCTCGAAGATCACGTTGAACGTGGAGAAGTTGAGCGGGTCGCCGGAGATCGATCGCCTCTCAGTGATGCAGGCGAGCATTACCGCTGCGGCGTTGCAGGCCAGCGGCGACAGCAGCATGCTGTTCAGCGACAGTCTCCTCTTCTTCTCCGCTCCATCCCTGCTTTCGGGTTCTCCGGCGCCGCTCCTTTTCATTTCGCTTCCGTCGTCGTGCACCGATAACAATGTCGCCGACGCCGGGATGCACCTGAAAATCGTCGGTTGCCATGCAAAATCTGTTAATGATCGAACAACATGTTTGTCGCGTAGTATACTTCAATTTCGCGCGGAGGAGCGTGACTGACATCATGGCGAGGAATAGCACCAGCACCGCCGGCGCGACGAGGGAGCAGTCGACGGAGTTCTCCCCGGCCTGGCGCACGTTCACGGACATGAACACGGCGTTGGTGAGCTTCTCGCCGGCGGTGAGCCCCTGAACACCGCGGAGTTCCAGTTCAGGCAGCAGAGGAGCGTCGCGGCCGCGGCCGCGACGGCGACCACCGTGGCGGCGAGGGAGGCTGCCCGCGGGCCTCTTGGCAGCAGGTGGCCGAAGCCCGCCGCTGCGGCGCTCTTCTCCATGTCCATGGGCACGAGCTCCTCGACGGGTCCTCCTCGCCCGGTGAACAAGAACAACGCCCTCGCTAGCCCTCTCGTGGCGCTCACCGCCAGCCTGAGGAACACCGGGAGCAGCGTGCTGCCGGCGAGGATCTGTGCTGCCAGCGGTAGGAGCAGGCCACGGTTAGCGGCGAACACTGCCATGCTCTCGTTCGTCAGGAGCAGGCCGCCGTTGGTGAAGGACGACACGGTGGTGGACACCGAGAAGAGCGCGGCGCTGATGCGCTTCCTCGCCAGCACGTCGCGCGCGGTCGGGACAGTGGCGACGTACGCGAACACCAGCACGGAGCCGACGACGAGGATCGCGGCCATGTAGGCCGATACCACGAGCGCTAAGCTTCTGAAGGCGCGGCAGGTCTCCTTGCGATCGTCACCATCGCCGGACGAATCCGCAGACGGAGTTGGCGCCGGATTATTCGCCTGTTCGAGATCCGGCTCGTCGCAGACGGCGGCCGCCATGACCCTGCCGTCGTGATCTTGATGGTCGCGCTGCTGCTGTCGTCGCTTGCGCGACGACTCGAGGACAGGCCGAGCAAGGAGACGAACATCTCTCTGCCCAGGAGCATGAGGAGGTGAGGACGACGAGCTGGGCGCTGGAGAGGTCCTCCATCTCGACGGTGGCTAGTCCGGTGACCGTGACCGCGGACGTCGACATGAAGAACACGTCGACGTAGCGCGGATGGTACCCGGGGTTGCTTGGCTTGAGGAGGACCAAGGCGAGGAAGCCGAGCAGGTCGACGGCGAGGAAGTAGGACAGGTGGAGCAGCAGCGGGGTGAGGTAGACGGCGATGAGCCAGCTGACGAGCACCACCGAAGTGCTGACGGCGTGTCTCGCGGAGCTGGCCAAGACATGGAGCCGAATAGGCATTGGAGGTGGTGGTAGAGAAGGGCAATGAGCAGTGCCTGATGATCTAGCTCTTGTTTCAATAGAAAACTAGTTACTGGTACTACATATGAAATCTAGTACAAGTGATAACTGGTCTCAATGGGTGTAATGTGTATATATACAACTTATATTAGCTTTGACAGAGCAGTGGTCATATGGAAATGCAACTGTTTCAGGGCTGTTTTTTTTTTTTTGAAAGAACAACTGTTTCAGGGCTGTTAGTGGTGGTGAGGAGGACATGTGTGCAATGCAAGTGTGGTAGCATGGCTCATCGGGCAGCTTTCAGAACTTAATAATGGCATGCGCGCCTGCAGATGGAGCACGCCGTGAGTGAGATGAGATGAGATGCCTGAATACGCGCGAAACTACTACGTACGTACAAAAGGACTGGAGAAAATTCAGTTCAGACTTCAGAGCCTTCTGCACATGCGTACGTGGTGAGCCTTTCTTTGCCCAACCGTCTGCCATGGCGCCGAGGGCAACCACGGCCAGATCAGGCAAAGTGGAATGGCAGGATGGCAGTCGGCTGCTCCTAGAGGCTGGAGGCAGGCAGGCGAACCCCAGCCACTAGTAACTGAAAAGAATTCATGCCCCTGGTCACTTAAATGTGAGTGAAGATTAGCAGGCATCTCTGCTTTTCTTACACAAGCTGGAAGACTTCAACTCACAAATGCTGTGCGTCTGCCCTTCCAACCATCTACCTTTGCTCCCTCACCCTATCAGATTAAATCATAAGTCAAATAGATAAGTTTCGAAAGCATTGCCTTTGGAAAGGTGCAGATTTTATAATTCCAAAAAAAAAAACCCTCCAATGCTGCTTGGGAATTGGTGTGCATTCCAAAGGAACCAAACGAGGCCTAAGAGAATTCTATGAACTTGAACCTACCAGCAAAGCCTTCAACCTACCCCTTTCCACAGAGGCTTTCAACCAACTGAATGAAGTGCTTTTCATTATCCATTACCTGCCGCTAACCAACAATCAAGACAAATGGTATTATTCTTGGGGTCAAGATTTCTCACCCTCAAAAGCCTATGCTCTTTTAATCGCACATAGACAGGTTCACATTGGTATCAAATGGCTTTGGGAATGCTTCTGTCAGCCAAAACACAAAAGTTTTCTTTTGACTCCTTATTATGGACAGGCTCGGACCAAAAATATCTTAAGAAGAAGGAATATGCATTTGGACTCTTATCAGTGTGTCGTCTGACAAGACCAAATAGAAGAAACAGTTCAACACTTGTTCATTGGCTGCAGGTTCGCTAAAAATTGTTGGAACATGTTAAATATCACCTTCACTCCAAATTCTGCATTCCCAGAGGCCATCATGCAAATCAGAGATCAGTCCAACACCCAATTCTTTATGTTAATCTCGATCCCTAATGTGCAGGGCAATTTGGAAGCTTGTTAGGCATCTGGAATTTGTTCCCACTTTCAACAGATTCATCCAATTTGAGGTATCTGCTGCCAAGCACTCACCATATTCATCGAGCAAAACAATCTAAACACAAATTTAAAGAAATGACTATATTTTCAACAACCAACAGTCTCAGCAGTGGAAGACACGTTCAAAAGGAGATGAATCCTTTGTCCTTAGATCGAGCAACTCCAGAGACTCTCTATATTGTTCATAAATGCTAGGAATAGAGATTTTGGTGAAAAACTATCCTCCAACAGCTTGTCTAAATGGTTATCCAATATAGCCATCTTCTATTCCGGTTTTTTCGCTAGTCCAAAATAGAAGATGAGAATGACTCTCTAGAGTATGCACGAGATATAAAAAAACTGTTGGAGAATGAAAAGATATAGAAAACGATTTTTATATAAATGACTCTCAAATGATGATTTAGAGTGAGATATAGGAAGACTCTCGGAGATGCTTCTAAGAGCCTCCTGCAAAGACTCATTAGCTTTTGACTTATGGATCCAAATCTGTTGTAATCTTCATTTTGAGTTTCATTTTTCTTCTCCTTTTTGTGTCTTAAATTTGTATTCTGTATTCTGTACATTTCTTAGTTTCCCGTTAATAAAATCCTTGTAGGGGTGCAAACCGCTCCGGTCTTCAGGCCAGTGATACTGATATGATACGCCGGCGTCGATCGCCGGCAAATGAAACTGATGGCCTATAACTACTACGCTCCAGAGTCCAGAGGCGAGAGACCAAAGCTTGTAAAGCGAGGCTGCCGGAGAGACACAACTGCAGGACCATCATCGTCATCATGGTCGTCATCTCTCCATCTCCATGGACACGTTCGAAGAGCATGCTTAGCTAGGGGTTGTGGGGGGCAGCGATCGAGGAATAGAATTCAGTGCCTCCACTTGGTGCCATATGGCCGCCCGCGAGGCAAGTCCTCTGCATTTGGCGTAAGATCGCAAACGCCCTTGCTTGCCTTTGAACACTTGTTGCCTTGCGTCGATGGTGACCTGACGACAGCGATTGCTGCATGCTGCGGTGGGAGGTGATAGCTCAGCTAGCTCCGGAGAAGAGCTGCATGCGAGATCAGATTCATGGCCAGAAACTCGGGAAGAGTTGCGTAGCTGTGGTGGTGGTGGATGCCATGCTCCCAAGGGACGTGTGCAGGGCACCCGTGGACATCCTCGGTTCCTTGCCAGCAATGGTACACAAGACGACGCATAGTAATTGCGCGCGAGCGCCAACTTGAGGCCTAGTATTTGGCAAGCTCTAGCTCCATTAATTTCTTTGATTTGAGGTGGAGCTATGGATATATTAAGGCTGCTGGATTGAAAAGCTATTTTGTTAGTAGTACTAATATATCAACCGTGCTCTTTTGTGTAGACAAGAATCTTAAGAGATACTCCCCCACCCAAAAAAAAAGGAATCTTTTCTTAAGAGATACTACCTCCATTCCAAATATAAGACATTTTATCTTTTTTAATATAGCTTTTGACGTTGAATACACACTATGTCTAAATACATAGTAGGAACAATGTATTTAGAAAAGTCAAAATGTCTTATAGTTTAGATTGAGGGAGTATAAACATTACATATGTTCATGTTAAATACCTATGACTAATAAAAAAACTTATATTGCGTTCTCTTTCTTTGTTAATTATCTAACACAAATACACAATAGACACGTAGATACTTTGTAATGTTGCGGCTGCGGCTTTTGTTGCTTGCTTTTCAGTGATGCACTGGGCCGCCAGCAGCTGCAACGACTTAAATTCATCTCAAGCGAACTCCCCTCTATCTATTTATGATAAACTTATCAATTACTATATATATATATATATATATATATATATATATATATATATATATATTCCATCTTTCCACTTCACATGGCACATTATGTGTCTTTAATAAATTTAGTTAAGATCTGAGTTTATGATATGGTGAATTTTGTAGCGGATCATGCCTTGTGAAGTCATGAACATAGGTTTCTGACTTTCAAATTTCGATCTTATTACTTGCTATAAAGTTCTAACCTCAACAAAAGTTAAAACACTTTTTGCTTATTGTACATTTTATTTGCACCCTCATTTTATATTTTATTAAAAATAAAATTTTAGCTTATAGAGTGCACTCTTAATTATTGTCGGTAGGTAGCGTTTGAAATGAGATTGAGAGGAGCAAACTATGCTAACCTAAAGAGAAATTTAATACTAACTATTTACACCAAATGAATCTCAAAGTCCATCCAAGTAATTTGCACCTTTGCTTTGCATTAACCTCATCTATTACTCAAGATGTTAGATTTTTCTTATAAAAAATTATGTGTGGTCATATTTTTATAAAAAATGAGTGCTCACAATTATATTATCAATAATTAGATATGTCGTTATATTTTAGCTAAAAACTTACAAAAATATTTTCATGAATAATAATATAATTTAAAATAATTTGTTAGTGTCATTAGAATATGAGTCATTAAGGATTTAAGGAACATTTTTCCATGATCATTGAAACGTTGCTCATTTGTGCATGTATACTTGATCAGTATGACTATTTTTATATGTATGTTTACCTTAAGTTATTTTTAATAGTAATGGGTAATTTAGAAGCACATATGGACATAATTTACAGTCATCTAAGCATTTTACATAATAGCAAATGGCAATAATTTAACGGGATATTTAATTTACCTTTAGTAATGACAAAAGTGGTAATCTAGATGTGGATTTAAGAGTTTACTTAGATTATTTGCAATAATGATAGGATGGCTAGTTTAGATATAAATTAAGAGTTACTTTATATTATGGTTCATATAATGGCACGTGTGGCTAACTTAGTTATGAACTTAGGAGCATTACTTTAGGTTGTTTTCATAATGGGCAATTTAGATGCAGATTTAGGGGCGTTACTATCGTTATTTTCCATTCTACGGTGAGATGTGGGTAATCTTTTTGAAACAGAATAGAACCAGTTGACTATATTAGTATTAATGGTGGTGCTTAGACTACAACCTAATAGATCGCTAGATTTTCCTGATTTTTGTCACAATATGATTTTTTTAACACATATAATGAGAATTAACGTGAAGCCTCACTTCGTAAGCCTCTAACTTTTTATGAGAGGTTATAGGCCTCTAACTAACTAGTAGTAATAATAGTAAGATTTGAGATGACTGACACGCAGCCTTGAGAACTTGAAATGCCATGCGGCTTACTCCATGGACTCGATAACAAGTAGCCCAATAGGTCTTTTGGCTAGGCCGATGTTGGGCTTTCATATTTGGATAACTTTATATTTAGGAGAAAAAATATAATAACATCTAAGATAGGAAGCGACACGAACTCATGTGGCTGGGATGAGAAGTCAAACAGCGCCTCGACTCTGCTTCCTTTGCCAAGCGTCGACCTGCTGGAGGCAGCGACCGTTAGTTAGTATAAGTCTGGAGTTCGGGCCAAGAGGCGAGTTCGGCCCAATCCCAAAGGCGTTCGGGCCCGTGTGGCAGCCGTGAGGCTAGTACAAGTCCGGAGAAGGAGAGAGAGAGGTTCTGAATCCTGTAAACCTTAAACT